CAACAAGCACACTTAAGGCTATCCTGGGGCCAGCTCAGCTGCACTGGCATATCCTGCTGGGGATGTGTCCCAAACAGGGCAAACAGGGATGCTCGTCTTCTCCAGAGAGTAGCATTAGAACATGGACCTTGCTGGGCTTTCCAGGGAGATTTTCACAGCCTACTAGGAAAAGCAATGGGTTTGAAATTTCATGAGTTGCTGGTCAGAGAAGGGAGGACTGTGTCAGCAGGGGAGGAGAGGAGGAGAAGCGAGCATCCCTGGAGCAGCAGAGTGTCCAGGGACACCACAGAGATGAGAGCTGTGGTGATGACAAACATACGAGGGTTTTCATCCTTTGGCCTCACTGCCAGCAAAAATCTTCAGAGTTGATCAAAATTCTTAGGCTGTCACAAGTTAAATCACTGGTTTTAGGAGCAGAAGAGCTGTGGAGGTGGCTTCTGTGAGAAGCTGCCAGAAGCTTCTTCAGTGTCCAACAGAGCCGATGCCAGCCAGCTCCAAGAAGATGTGTTGCTGGCCTTGTCCAAGCCTGTCAGGGACAGCGTGCAATGAATGCACCTCTGGGGTAACAGAGTTTAGAAAGGGGAGAAAAAGCTGGCAAAACAGCAAATGGAGACAGGAGTGAGAATATGTGAGAGAAACAGCCTTGCAGACACAGAGGTCAGTGAAGGAATGGGCAGGGGTGCCCCAGAAGTAGATGGATGCCAAAAGGAGGTTGTGACCATGTTGGAAGCCCAGGCTGGAGCAGGCTCCTGGCAGCACCTGTGGCCCCATGGAGAAAGAAGCCCAGCTGGAGCAGGTTTGCTGGCAGGACCTGTGATCCCATGGGGGACCCAGCCTGTTCCCAAAGAACTGCACCTGATAAAGGGACCCAGGCTGGAGCAGTTTGTGCAGAACTGCAACCATGGGAAGTTCTCGTGTTGGAGAAGCTCATGGAGGACTGTCTCCTACGGGAGGGATCCCACACTGGAGCAGGGACAGAGTCTGAGGAGTCCTTTCGCTGGGGAGGAAGGAGCAGCAGAGACAACATGTGATGAACTGACCACAGATCCCATTACCTGTCCCCCTGCACCACAGCAGGAGAGAAGGGAGAGAAAATCGGGAGTAAGGTTGAGCCTGGAAAGAAGGATGGGGTGAGGGAAAATGTTTTTAGTATTTGGTTTAACTTCTCATCATCCTACTTTGATTTGATTGGTACTAAATGAAACTAATCTCACCCTGTCCTTATCTTGACCCATGAGCCTTTTGTTACATTTTCTCTCCCTGTCCAGCCAAGAGATGGAGCTTCGGCGGGCACCTGGCACCCAGACAGGGTCAGCCCACCACAATACCAAGGTCAACATTTTCTTTTTCTGTAGGACTTCTTTCCCTCAAGGACTTTGGTTATTATTGAAAAGACATCAAGTATGAGGAACGTGAACTGACACAATGTTATGGTGGTGTAAAGCCATGGAAAAGCAGAGCAATGAATCAGGTGCCCAGTCTCAGTAACTCTCACAAATTTTAATTCAGGCCATAATGGAGTTCAAACAACTATTTGGACCACTTAGAAAATGAAGATGAAATGCATAAAGCACCACAAGAGACTTTTAGAAAGGCACATAGCATGACCAAATTCTTCTCATTTTTAATATTTCTATTTCTTCTTCTAAACTTTTTCTTTAAACTTGAAAATAATGAGAAAATGTGCTTCCTTGAGACAAGCCAGTACTATCAGCTAAACAGCCTCACATTCATCGTAGCACTCCAAGTGCTCTGGAATGCTTTTCAGCCCAGAGGATAATAGTATTAGACGACCAGAAAGGCTGTCCTGTAAAAGACTGTTATTATGATTTCCAGTCTCAGAAGTTGGCTTAATCCAGCTGAGCACACACATGTTATTTAGAGAGAAGACTGAGCTCAGACACTACTATCACCGTCATCTTTATTGCAAATGAAGGGTTCAGCCAGTGAAAGGCAAGTCACGTTTTTTTTTTTGTCCTAAGCCCTGCAAACTGTGGCTGTTGCAATCGTCTTTGCACTCTGCAGAGAGAGTCTGGAGCTGCTGAATGTGGAGCTGTTTGCACAGATTTGCATCTGTCTAAAAACTCCTGTTTTCTCTCTTGTCACCTAATCAATCAAAAGGCAAAAGATGCACTCCCTGCACCATCTAAGGAAAATAGATCTGTGCCCACACAAAAGGCAAAGCATGAGCATAGGGGTTAACTAGAGGTTGTAAGCTGTGAACCCTGTAACAGGAGCACTTTTTTCCACTGCTTGAAATTTCATGCTGCTCTTCTTCTGTTTATGGAACAAAAGAAGAAGAGGCAGTGATGCTCTGAATTGGGAAAAAATAATCTGGGATTGTTCCCTGCATGAGAAAAATATGTTTTGAGGATTACTTAGGAAATTTGCACCTTGACTTGAGGAGGAAACTCTGCATAGCTTCTCTCCAAGGGTTTAGGCAGAACAGCTCCCTCCCAAAGGGCTCTCCCACCCACACCTCCCCAGGCGAGCAGGACCCATCTCACACTGCAGGCTGCCAAGGACCAGCAGCCAGGCACCAATTCCTGTGGGTCAGCTTGCAGCTGGCACCACTGCTTGGAATTGCTCGAATCTGCCCATGCCAAAACGTGCCAGGGTCACTGCTGCCCCATCAGTAGGGTGGGGATGAGCCTTCTGACCCTCTCTTTTTGCACCGGGGGGATATTGCATTTCACCACACAGCACTGGAGTGAAGGCTTCTCTGTGAATATCCAGCACAGATTTCCACCTATTCATTCTTGCACTGGCAGTGTCTTTGTTAACAGTCCTTGTCAGGGCAGCCTCAGCCACACTTTTGCAAGACAAAACAGCTCAGCCTCCCTCTGTCCTTCCAGTCACCTCCCTAGAAAGAAGCCAGAATCTGGGCACTCAGATTCATGCCAGGATGGGAGGGACAGCAGCTTCCTCTCCTTAATCTCAGGGAAGCAGCTCAAACAAGCTGAACCCCAGTAAGCAGAAGCTCTTCCTGGGCAAGCACTCCTTCTCTGGCACATTTTCCCATGGGAGACAAGCACAGGGACCTTAAAATAAATCTGTCTTTTTAAAGCAGTGATGCTAAATGAAGGTTTGAGATCAAAGGCTGGGATTCTCACATTTTGCCAAGATAGACATATCCATTCACGAGATTTTTGGTGTAACAAAATACTTGCTAATGAAGAGGATCATAATCTTATTATTAGCCCGAACTACCACAGTATGTCATTCAAGAGCGGGTTGGAATATGTCCTAGTTTAGGAAGTTGCACAGTGGGCTTTGGTTTTGATTTAATGAGCTGTGATTGTGTTTATTTTCAGCAGCAACTATGCCCGTTAAATTTTGGTAGAAGGTCTGATCGTTAACGACAGTAATCGACGGAAAGGATGAATTTAGGTTGAAGGGGAGGAAAATGGGAATCGTGTGTCTCTGGGATTCAGTCCCCAAGCAAGCAAACACAAGGTGGTCAGGGGAGCCTGAGCTTTCTCTGCTTTCATAGTGCTTGATGATGGGTTTTCAACTACTGGTTTAGACAGTTAAGGGGATTCAGACATGGAAAAACAAAGATTTTTGCTGTTATGGAGTGGGGCACAGAGGAGACTCAGGCAAAGGTAATCGAAGCTGGGGGTCAGACTTTCCTTTTGTGGGATGAGCCATGATATGACAAGGTCATCAGCTGGCTTCCACTATCAAGATCCCAGGAATTCTAAGATGGAGGGGACATGTTAGTAGTGTGTATCAACTGAACAACCTACCAGACGAGCAAAACGGAGAAGAAGGGGGAAGAGAAGTATAAATACAGACACATACTTTGAAAAAAAATATTGCTGCAGAAGAGCTGGTTAGTGTGGGCCCTGCTCTGGAGTGAGATGGGGCCCCATGTGGCAGGGTCTCCCCAAAAGAACCTCCCCTCACTGCTGCCTCTCTGGGTAACTGGAGCTGGGCCACTGAGCAAGAAGGGCAGGGCAGGGTGGGTCACAACTCAGACCCACTCCCCATCACACTCCTTTTTGTGTCTCGGTTTCTGGCCTTACAAAGGATGCTGTGCTTTGTGTTTGACACCACCAGCCCCAAAAGGGTCGAGCACAATTTATTTTCCAGCATCAAAGCATGCACACATAGAGACATGTGCATGTGCGTTTATGTACAGGCAGGACATCCATAAGGGGTGTGAAGGAAACACAAACATGGACAGACACACGGACAGACACACAGAGCCAGTTGTAGCCCTTAAAAGCTTGCCATGTACAGTATTAGAATGAGCCAACAGATACAGATGAATATTCCTTCCACCTAAGAGTTATGATCCTACCATACCTCAGATACTCAAAAAAAGGCCCAGTTGAGCATGGAAACAGAAGAAATCCTAGGGATACATCTGCTTCAGGTACAACAGTGCAAGGTATCGTCATTAAATGAAAAAATTAAATTACCCCTTTACTTTGCCCCCACTTAGCCTGCAGCACGCCTGGGCTCGCTGCTCCCTTTCCTAGGTTGTGCCCAGCCTGGACATGGGGCTCAGCCGGAGGCTGTTGGCTTGTGCCAACCAGAGAGGTGTTTTGCGGAGCAGTCACCGACCAGCAGCCTGTCAGCTCCAGCGCCTGTGAATTCCTGTGGCAAGTGTAAAAAATCAGTTAACACGTTGTTCTATTTTAAAAGCTGGGGTTTTTTATGACGGCCGTCTGTCTGACGGGGCACCCCTCCTCTCCGCCACGGCGTGCGGGGGGTGCGTGTCCCCTATAGCCCCGACCCCCGTGTCCCCTACACCCCGGCCCCCTGCTCTGAAGCTCGGTTGGAGGGGACGGCGATGGGGCAGGAGGGCGCAGCCCCGGGGAGCTCCGCCGGATGCCGGGCAGCTGAAGGGGCTCATTGTGCCCGGGACTGGGCGGTGCTGCCCTCCCCGCGGGCCGGGGCCGGCGCTGGGAGCGGGGCGGGCCGGGGCGGTGCAGCCCCGCCGGGGCTGGGGCCGGGGCCGAGCCCGGGCTGGTCTCCCTCCCGCGGCAGCCATGGCAGGGGGCTCCGAGAAGGTGCCCATCGCCCGAGTGGGGCCCGACGATGTGGAGCTGTGCCTACCCCCCGTGAGTGCTGCCGGCAGGCACCGGGCGGGACGGGGTGGGATCGCGACAAAGCGTATGGGCGTGAGTTGGGATGGGATGGGATGGGACGGGACGGGTCGGGACGGTTTGGGACGGTAGGGAACGGGCGGGGTCGGGACAGGTCGCGATGTAACGGGACGGATCGGGACAAAACGGGTCCGGTCGGGCCCGGGGGTCCCGGGTCGGGGGTCCCTGCCCGCTCCCACCACCCGCGCTCTCCGCAGGCGTACGCGGCGGCCGCGCCCCCCGGGCCGGGGCGGCTGCTGAAGGCCGGGGCCGCGGTGCTGATCGCCGGGGCCCTCCTGCTGCTGGCCGGGGCCATCGGAGCCTTCTACTTCTGGAAAGCCACGGAGCGGCAGGTGAGCGTGGCGGGCCGGGCCCCGCAGCCCGTCCGCACACGGGGCCGGGTGGGAGAGCAGCTCTCGAACGTACGGAGAGGCACTGGCTGGAAGCGCGTCTTGCGAGCTCTATAAAGAGGTCTTTAAGCAGACCTGTAGGTTTTTTTCCGTGCTTTCAAAAAACCCAAACACCTAAAAACCCAAAGCCATAATCACAGTCTTTGGCGGCTGTGTGGATGGAGCTTCCTGGAAGCACATTTATTAGCGAACACGGAACACATCTCTGGGAGCACAGACTCTACATTGATTTTTGCTCACAAATCCTCAGTGAACTCAAACCCCAACAAGTCCCCAGGGATTCACATCCTGGGCAAACTCCAGCTCTCAAGACAAAAAAGGCATTGAAATGTGTAAATTCTTTTTTCACAGCCATCTGCATTCCCCATCCAGATTCTACCTAGACCCTCAAGTATGTAATGCTATAAATTAACCCATTAACAGGCATCATTAGTTCTGGTGCTTTGTATGGCCGTGCATACACTTAGGTTTGCAGCTGTGGAGCAATTTTTAAAGTTAAGTTGTATTACTTACAGTTTCTGGGGTACACGAGAAATGCTTTATGCAAAGAATGAAACTGAGAAGCTGGTGATCAGTTAAAGACCCAAACTTCAGAGCATTAGAAAACATTTACAGATTAACTTTTCTTTCTGTTTACACAGAATTTGAGTTTAAAACATATTTGAAACATGATGGTACACACATGAATGTAACTTTCTTCATAAATTAAATTAGTACCCTTGAGTTTACTTTGGAAGAAGTTTTATACTGCCTCTGGCCACACGCCAGCCCTCATCAAGGAGAGCCTTGTGTGAATTCCAGCAGCCAGAGCAAAGGTGGCCCTGTGAGATATAGTCCTGCACATAAGGATAATTCAGATAATCAGAAAGAAAAGTACAGAATCAGAAAATCAGAAAGAAAAAGTTTTATAGCAAAAGACAGGACACATTGCTGACCTCCAAGACCTGCTGCAAGAACCATGTGCTTTTGAAAAGGGAGAGGCATGCAAATGGTGACATAGGCAGGGGACAGTGCTTTCAGCTCTGTGGGCACATTTGTGGAGTTCTGGACAGTGCTTCCCTTTTTTAATGCTCCTGTCATCTAAATTCAGCCATACAAAATACGTCACATTCACAGTTTTCATTAAGCTTCAAAGTTGATCTCTAGGTGAAGACACTGGAAAAGCAGAGAGTTATTTTTCCAAGCTGCCTTCAAACTCAGAAAGCTGCACTTGACTTGCAAATGTTTAGGAAGCAACTGCAAAAATTATATCCAGAGTCATTCATTAAAAAAACCTAATTTTTAAATTTCTGGTTTTATTTGATATCTTGAAATTCTTCCCTAACTGACAGTATCAAAGGCTCAACTCTAGCTCAGCTCCTATCAGGGGGAGACCACATACACTGGTCTGGTTTTATGGACCACATTCAACAGGAGTCCTAGAAAGCAGGAATATGGGAGTGGCTCTGTATAACTGAGGAACCGTAAATCTTTAGCACCTTAGACTTCCCTGAGTGAAGGTGAGAGAAGAAGAAATTTGTCTCTAGCTGTCTGTCAGTGTAGATTTATCATTAAAATGCTGTACAGGCTTTTTTAAGATCCAAAATAAACTGCTTGTGCAGCACTTTTAGCAGAGCTGCACAAGAGAATCACAAAACCCCTCCACAGATTGTGGTCTTCCAGCAAATACAAACCACGCTGTAGCTATCCTCATTGAAAATAGGATAAGGGCAAATACGCTGACAAGGAAAATATGAGCCTATACAACTTCACATCCAATTTAAACAAAGTTCACATCCATTACAGGCTGGGAAGTATGTTCGTATTCAAGAGGAACCTGTTTTCCTGTGCCTCAGCAGAACATCCTAAGAGATAAATAGGGGTTGGCTCCTTCAGAGTAGGACATTCATGCCTGCTGTCCTTTGGGAATCAAGCCAGTATAACAAGCAGTTCCTAAAATGTCCTAGAAGAAGGCTTTTAGGTGAGAGTGAACATGGGTGTGGACTCACCCCACATTGTTTTTGAAGTAAAACTATAAGCGCTCCCTGGAAGGGGGATCTCGGCTCTCCATTCCTACCTGATGTTCAGAGCTGGGACAGCTGTGGGGTCAGAGATGGTTGCTCAGGGCTTTATCCAGTCAGGACTTCAAAATTTGCAAGGATGGAGACCAAGCCACCTCTCAGGGCTGGCTGCCCCCACTGCCAGCCTGCCCCAACGCTGAAATAGTGCAGTGTTGGTTGTTGAAGGGTCATCAAATGCCTGCAGCAGCAAAATTTAGGAGCTAAATAGGGATATGAGAGTCAGGTTGACCCATTGCCCGGTGTAGAAGGAAGGCAATAAGTAATTACTGGTATGTGCTACCACTCTTTTATTGATTCCAGGTGTACAACGTTCACTATACTATGAGCATTAATGGAAAAGTACAAGATGGATCAATGGAAATAGATGCTGGAAACAACTTAGAGACATTCAAAACAGGAAGTGGGAGTGAAGAGGCTGTTGAAGTCCATGATTTTCAGATCGTAAGTAGTGCCACTCTTGTCCTTCATGTAACACACTCCAGAGCTGTCTTAAGGACACTTTGCTCTGCCCTGACTTCTCTGCCCCAGTCGGTCTCAGATTCCTGCCTCCAATCATCCACACAAACACTTTTGCATCCACACAAACATTTTGCTTTCACTGGGAGACAGGCAGTTTGCTCTGAAACAAAAATTTAAGTGCTTTTTGGAGATCAGCCATGCCAGGTACCACTCCGGGAAGTGGTGTGGATTAGGCTGCATCAGGTTTGGCTCCATGTAAATACTTTGCATTTTCAAACCACTGAGCAGAACCATGACATGTGACCTTGGGGTCTTACTAGAAAAACATTCTGTCAGGCTGTAATGCAACCTTTGCATGATTTCATGTGGTTTGAAACTAGCAAAAACACCTCCCCCAAACATCCCTGTTTGAGGAACGTAGGGTCAACACAGTAAGCCAAGGAGACACCACTCTACACTGCTTGCCTTGGGGAGCTTCCTTTGTCCTGAGGTCAAGGATGGGAGCTGCTCTCCATGGCTTGGCCTGGGTTCATGCCCATGGCAGAGGATGGAGGCATTTAGCACAGTTCATGCATCCATGCACCAGACACCAGGTGCTGGGCCACTTGGGCTGATAGCAAACACACCTGGGCAACTTGTAGCTTCTCAGCACAGAGCCTGCACGAACAGATGCCAAACCTCAGCAGAGCTCAGCAGCTAGAGTGGGTCTCTGAGCTGCCCTGAGCTAATAAGGCACATCTATGTGATCCTGCAGAAACCCATTTACAGGGCCCAGACCCTGCAGTTAAGTGTTCCCAGGTGCAAAGTCAGGTTCTCAGAGTTAAGCAGTCTCCGAGTCAAAGCAGCACCTAAAATAAAGATACTGCTGCTAGGAAGCATCTCTGCTTCTGGAGCAGCCACCTTTCCCTGGCTGGATCTAGATAACCAAGGAAATCCAGCTCCTTGGCTTTTCAGCAAGAGCAAACAAATCCATGCCAGGAGATGCTGGACCCCAACTTTCCCAACAGCTGTGGTTCTGCTGCCTTTGTGCAACTCTCATTAGCATCACCATAGCAACATTATTAGCAGCTGAGTAAGAGCATCCACAGCAAGCTCTTCTCATTTGCCTTTGCCATTTCACATCTGCACAAAAGCACCAGTCCACTGGAGGGATGCTGAATTCATTTTGCCTCCACGTGTGTTGCTGGTGAGATCCTGCCTGTCACAACCAGGTCACAAATCAGCTCGTAACACCAACCAGCTCAAGGAACCTCCCAGGGACAGTGCCTGCTTGTAATTACAGAGGTCAGGGACAACCTCAGCAAAGGGTTGATGCCACTTGGGTTTTCAGCCAAGAATGCACACAAAGGAGAAAGCAACTGAAGACATGTGCTTCCAAGTCTCTATTTATTTACATTAGCAGTTTTGGATTGACTTGCACTGCTGGAATTGACTGCATGGTCAGAGAAGGCTTGGATTTGGCAATATTAGGGTATTCCTAGCACACTTGGTACACCACAAAGCCTTATGTCCTAATGCACCCATCCTTGCATAGCCATTCCCTCTCTCACTACTTTTTATAGTCATTTTGTTTTGAAGGGGGTGTGTCTGGCTACACAGGACATGGCTCAGGTGCCCCAGTACCATCCATCTCATGCTGCAGGAGATCACAATGTGCTAAGTTGGAAGGGACCCCCAAGGATCATCGAGTCCAATTCCTGGCACAGGACCATCCCCAAGAGTCACACCCTGTGCCTGGGAGCATTGTCCAAATGCTTCTTGATCTCTGCCAGGCTGGTGCTGTGACCACTTCCCTGGGGAGCTATTCCAGTGCCCAGCCACCCTCTGGCTGAAGAACCTTTTCCTGAAACCCAACCTAAACCTCCCCTGACACAGCTTCAAGCCATTCCCTTGGGTCCTGTCAGTGGTCACCCCAGAGCAGAGATCAGTGCCTGCCCCTCCTCTTCCCCTCATGAGGAAGTTACAACTGCAATGAGGGCTCCCCTCGGTCTCCTTCAGGCTGAACAGACCAAGTGCCCTCAGCTGCTCCTCATACAGCTTCCCTCAAGGACCTTCACCGTCCTCATTGCCCTCCTTAGGACACTGTCTAACAGTTTAATGTCTTTCTTACATTGTAAGAAAAGTGCCCCAAACTGCACACAAAGGCATCCATGATACCCCTTCAAGGCAGATCAGAGGGGTCATGCTGACACCCACACCCCTTTTTTCTCCTGGCAGCTAGAGGCCGGGCAGAAAATCAGCACAACTTAAAGAGCACTAAGTACTTATATTTAGGTAGGTGACTGGAGCTTGTGCAACCACATGAAAAACAGAAGTTTTGCCATTTATCTAAAGGCATCTAAATTTATAACGTAGAAGAGAGCTCTTTTATGGTTATCCAAAAACCTACAGTAGAAATGTAGAAACTACAGACAAAGGCAAAATGTTGATGCCCAAGGTTCTGTCACAGGGCTGGAAGGTACGTCCCAAGACTTGCAGGAGATTTGCTCCTTCTCTTGCTTAAAACTAGACATTTATGGTTTATGCAATTGCATTTCACCCTAGTAGGCCAGATGAAGTCCCACACACAGATTTCTGTACCAAACTGCCCATCACAAACTTCCCTTTGCTGTCACAGTCACTTATTTGTACAAACTGAACCAAGGTGCCCCCACATTTTTGTAAAACTGTGTCACAAGGGTACCACATCACCAGCTAACACAATTTCAAGACTGCCTACGTTAGGTGCTAAGTTACAGTTCAAATCATGTCAACTAATTCCTTAACAGAGCTACTTCAAGTAGCCTACAGCCTGCATGGAAGCACTTACATAAAACAGCCTCCCACTTCCAAAAATCAAGCAAAAACTTCTAGATCAATTTGACCAAAATTGTGAAGCTACAATGATGAAGGAAGAACGTTTTACTGCTTCTGGTTTTGAATAAGATTAACCTTCAGACTGAAAATTCAGTGGCACTTTCTTGGGGGTGGTGAGGAGCTGGAGGCCTGTGCACAACCCTCTGCCTTCTTTCTGCTTTTGCAGGGCATAACCGGGATCCGTTTTGCTGAAGGAGAAAAGTGTTACATCAAAGCTCAGCCGAAAGCTCACATCCCTGACGTTGATGCTATGACTAAAGCAAGCCTCTCATCTGAGCTGGTAAGGGGTAGTTTGTTGAGTTTTTTTAACTAATCCTTGTATAGAGAGAGCCTAAAGGAGGTACTTAAATACAAATAAAAATGGCATTTGAAAGCCATTCAGGCTCATGGTAGGGTTGTTGAATATAGGGCAGGATAGCTAAGGATTCATTGACTGCTTGCAAGGAATGAAGAGTTAAGAAAAGGTAAGAAAAATAAGATTGATGTCAGACACGTCACTGTATCCAGGGACATTGTGAGAGGCTGCAGATGAGTTAGTGGGGAAGCCACAGACTGATTTCTACCAGATCAACAGGAGATGTCTGTGACAAGAGCGCCCGCCTGAGACCAGGCTGTGCACAAGGCTGGAAGGGAGGGCATGGAAGAAGCAGCTGCTTTAGTCAGTGCAAAGGAGGACTGTGATAGATCCCAGGAGATTTCTATCAATGCTCTTGAGCAGAAGCATGAACTCCATTCACTCTAGTCAGTAAAAGGGAATTGTGGAAAACATGGCAAAAATTAAAACAACTCATAAGAAATTATTTTTAAAAATACAACTTTACCTTCTTAGCATAAAGCTTAATTTTACATGTTAGCTGGGTTTCACGTAGAATTCATATCACAACCAGCACAGAAGCTTCCGTTCTCACCCAGATACCACCAAACCTCCTCACATTTGCCCAAAAAGCTGATTGCTTTATGTGCTCAAAGCCTGAGTTTCCCAGAGCTCAGACCCCCAAACTCATTGCTCACACAGGAGTGGCTCCAGTGACGTGAGTCCAGCTGAGCCTGGGCGCTGCTGGGGGCTCGGTCACTGGCAGGAGAGCACAGGAGATGCACAGCCCCTTTCCCTGAGTTTGCTCTGCTCCGAGGAGAATAAAGGCAGATACAATTAGCTGTGAGAGAGGTGCTGTTAAGGCTGTGCCTCCCTGCAGTGGTGCTGTGACTACTGAGCATCTGCTTTAAAATCAAGGGGAAAAAGATCTCTCCTAATAGAATCAGGAAGGCTGGCAAATGTTACAAAGCCTCCTGAAGCTGGCAGGATTTTCCCCATGATGGAAAAGAGAACTTGTGTGAATTCCAGAGAGACAGCTCCGTCTTTCCTGACTTGTCTTATTTTAAAGGCAGCTGGCCTTGATTTAATTAGAGCTATTGCTGGAAGTCAAAATTTGACTTTTTCATCTTTCTGTAAAAACAAAGTCATAGACCTGACGACATTATCCTAGATAATCAAAAAGTTATTTCTAATTCTACCTGGTGACAGTAAAACTATTTCCTCGTCCTGTTTCTTGTGCATCTTCTCCAAAGATGCATCACCTATGTGACTGTTGCAATGAATTGCATGCACCAAGCAGGTGACTTAGTGCTACCACTAAGAAATTAACTTTTCCCTGTCTCTCGATTTTCCAGACCAGATGTACTGCAGGAATGATAAAGTAGTATTTATTTTTCTAGGCCAAGTCATCTCTCTAATATGGAAGTATTTAGGAGAAAGTATGCCTATGCTCTTTTCCTACAATAGCCATCATAACAACAGTACATACAAAAGTTGTTGAGTAAAATAAGTTTTATAGATACCCAAACTCTGGCTGCTCACAAGCCAGGACCATTTCAAACAGAAACAAAGGATATTTTTATTTCAGAAAATTAGAGTCAGGTATTTCTGATGTTGATAAAGGCTTTAGTGAGAGAATATAAAAAAAGAGCAGTAGACAGATTGGATAGCAAACTTAAATTACTTGAGACCTACAAAATAAATCAATAAACACACTAAAGAAACACCAACTCAAGGGAATAAATTGATCTAGTCAGTTATATAACAAGTCTTGATGACTCTTATGAAAGCAATTTAGAATTTTAACTTTGAAATCATGCTGGTTTTCATGATTCAAAAGTTAGTTTTCTTTTAATATTTCACCATTGCTATAAAATACTTACACATTTTATGTAAAATAATACTTTGAACTAACAACTTTAAAGAATCAATCACTGGCATTTTCCTACATTACTTTGAAGATATGAACCAAAAACCTGCAGGGTACACTTCAAAAAGGCAGGCTCCTTTAGCTTGCACTTCAAGCTTTTGGTCAATTGAATTGCTTTTACCAAACAAGACCTTTAATCAGACCAATCACATTGACTTGAAGCTGGAGTTCTTGAGCTATAATCCTCTCTAAAACTTTTGAACAAGATTCCACCCCTCACTCCCCCTACACACACTGTAAATACAGTTATGTATTGAGAATAAGTCAAATGAGAAAATTAGGGGCTTGGGTGTTGCTGGTATTTCATTGCTGCTTTGCTGAAGGTGGTAGATCTTTGGTTTCCACCACCTGAAATTCTGGTGCTTTGGGCTGAAAGATCTTTGACATCCAGCCCTCATGCATGGGGCAGAAGCCTTCCAGGAGTGAGATGGGTAAAATCATAACCCCAGCAAAGGTGACAGTGGCTTTTTCCTTCATTTCAGTGGTGGCAGCCTTTCCCCAGGCTTTGGCTCAGCACGATCTATTCACATTCATGACATAGAAGGATGCTCGGTATTAGTTGCAGTGGATAATTATACAGTTTGGTGCTCAAGAATTAACAGCAAGCAGGCACATGACTGCTCACTGAGCAGCAAAGGATTTATGCTCTTCTATTTGCAGGAAGATGAAATCATGCCTGTGAGATTTGACAAAAACTCCCTTATCTGGGTGGCTGCAGATGAGCCTATCAAGCATAACAGCTTCCTAAGCCCCAAAATTTTAGAGCTTTGCAGGGATCTTCCAATTTTCTGGCTGCGACCAACATATCCCAAAGGTAACATTTCTTTTATTTGAAAGGTATGTTATCCCTCCCTTCATCTAAATGCCTTTCCTATGTCAGGTGTGCTACTGAAACTAGCAAATCTGGGAAACCAGACTCCTTTCCTCCCTTGCCCACACCTTTCTGGGCTTGTGCCAACACTGTGGGTTTGGAGTTTATCCCCTAGATATTTTCCATCCTTCTATTTACTCACACAATTTGCATAGCCCAAGTGGGTGATTTGCTAGGAGATGAAACATTTCCAGAGAGGTCAGCCTCCTTCTAGAAGACAAGACAGCAGTTTAAACTAGCTCCCCAAACGTGTAGGCAGCTGACACCAGGTAGCAGGAACACTGGCCAGGAATTGGAGACTATAGCCTGCCCTGTTTTCTACCCTGCTTCCCCAGAGGAATTCAGTGGAGTGGAAGGAAGATGATTTAAGCCAGCCAGCTGGTGAATGGTTTATGACACCCTGGGGCAGTCCCAGCTCTGAACTTGGGGCCCATAGGCAAGCTTAGCAAAGGTGTTCAGAAGTCACCAGAAAGATGGCGATTCCTCCAGGTAACTTCCAGGCCTAAGAGGAGAGAAGGCTCAAAAATATTTATTCCTCCTTGGTCCATTTAATATCAGAACACTTGGGTGGGACAACATGTGGAAAAACAATTACCACATTTTAGAACACCTGTGGATCCGAGCTACCAGTATTTTCCACTTGCCTCATGATCTTGCATATCCCACTGGGCAACAAAAAAGCAGTATCAAAGCTGTCCAGAACCAGATGTCCTTGAGAGCAGGGCACTATCCCACCATAAAAGCGTTTTTTAAAAGTGAGATGTGTACAGCTGGTCTTGCTAGTGCTGGAAACTGCTGCTGGGTTAGCATCAGTGACTATAGGCTGGGTAAAAAAAAACCCCAACAAATCTCGTCACACACATTTTGCCTCAAGGAGAGGAGGGAGGGGGGGAAAGCAACCATACTGGCATTGACTGCAGACACAACATAGGAAGGCAAGCAGCTCCCATGCAACACATACCAAGTTTGCCAAGGCACAGTTTTGGCTTTTTCTGCCCTCCATCCTCTCCTTTTTTTAATATTTAAGGAAATCACTGAAATATTAGGTAACTACAAGGACACATTCAAGGTAAGATTGTCCTCTGGTGATTATTTCTTCAGATAACCAAAGGAGAGAAATGAAGAGAAACAAGCGCCAATCTGAATCAAACTTTGATGAGGAAGACTTGGAAGCTACTTCTGAAGAAGTAAACCCCAGGTCACGCACTGTGCAGCTCACTGAAGAGCTTGGCCACCAGGCCAATGAAACCAGGCCAATGGGACAAGAAACCGATCAAACATTTAACCCAGACAACCCATACAATGTAAGTATTTGCACTGTAATGTTCCTTCAGAGCCCGGGGGACTGTGTTGGGTGGGTAACACTGGTAACGTGGAGCTTGTCTTTTGTTTTGTTTTTTTTTAAATCTGCACAGTCTTTGCTTGTTCAGCTTTTCTGGGAAATAATAAGACTGGTAGAACAGCTAAGAAGCTCAAAAATGTGTTCCCTCTGTCCTCTTCTCCCAGTTTTCATTAGATTTCAGTCTGAAACAAGCACAAGTGCTTGAGGTTACAAGGTTAAGGCAAGTTGATGCCTTAAGTTGCGTTTTTAAGTTTCCAGAGCCATATGGAAACAGCACTGGAGATCTGACAAGGGTAGCACCTTCTAGAAACAAACCAAAGCAGGTCTTGATCAGACAGCCGAGCCCCATCATTCACTATGTGAAGAAAAGTCCAGTAGCTAGAAACAGGCTTTGCTCTCAAACAGAAATTAGCACCAGACATGACTGCTACACAGGAACACAGCAGAGGTGTCTGGGTGCAAAGAGATAAAGGTCCAGTCAAATAAACTTTCTCAGCCTCTTCTCTATGAGGATAAGCAACCCTAGACTGGCAAGAACCTGACAGAGAAGAATCTGTTTTGAGACAGCAGCAGTGGGTGGAGGATGACTGTCATAAAACTTGTTCTCACCCTTCAAGAAGCAGCAGCCCCCAGAAAGAGCAGAGGAGCCACCCTGCTGTGTCCCAACACCTCTGCCGCGCTGCAGGAACACTGGCTGTGCAGGAGGCATCTTCCAGTCTGCTGCACCAGCGCCAGACAATTTACACCCACCATTTGGTGCAGCAGGAGTAAGTCATTTTAATACAACACTGTCACAAGATAAATGCCTCCTGCTTTGGAAGTAAGTCCCAGCTTTGACTTGACATTTATGCAACAGCAGGAGATCATTATACTGTGACAGCATTCTGCCGAGTTGACATCCCTTAATTAAACTTAAATTAATCACTCCAAATAAAGTGGATCTAAATCGACTCTCTCACGAGGTCAGTAAAACGGCAGTGGCACTGGAATGTAGCTTCTCCTCACAGCTACTAACGTGACCATCTCCATGAGGTCTGAGCTGCCCTGCCTCTGGAGGAGAACAACTGCCATAGGTCTGCTCTTCCAGCCAGAGGGCGGCCAGGTCAAATGGAGAACAGCCAGACAGATGCAGCCATCAGACGCCCCTCAGCCTGCAGGGCGGGACTCGCCTTCACCAACAGCTCCTGCTCCGATGCCTATTGGCAGGCTTTCTTAGAGACTGAGTCATTGGACTGACAAGGACCATTAATTATGCTCCAGGTCTTTCCTGAAGGATGAAATTAATCCTCCCTATAGCTATTTCTCTTTACTCACTCTAAGTGGAGCCTGGATGATGAGCTCAGGTGATGTTCATGGTACAGGTATCTGAATTCAAGGATCCTGACCAAGAAAACATCTTGCCTGCTCTCAGGACTGGGCAGGAGTTGCTGGGGTCCCTAAAAACACCCAGCTGTCACTAGTGTCCTGAACAAGCCCAGACAAGGGGCAGGCACCTTTCTGTGTCACTTGTTTTGTTGTGCTGCTACTTCTCGAAAAGGAATAAAAAATGCTTAGGTAAAAAGCTGACTGGTACTTCAGCATTTGTGCACTACTGCTGCTTTTCTTGAAGTAACACCAATGGGCAAAGAACAACCCAAGGTTCCAAAAGCATATCTGGTTACCTTTTTTCCCCAGAAATGAGAAAAGGCATTTTGAAGAGTAAAGGCTTTTTAGGTATTATGTGCATGCTTCACTCCATTTAACTCCTTACTGTCAGATACAGAACAAGCAGAATTCTCATGGTCCACAATGCACCTAAATGTGGCAGGGTGGGAGGGAAGGAACCTAACTGAGAGACAAGAGCCAAATCCTCAGAAAGCTGCAGGGGACCAGGGGAAGAGTTTCCTAAAAATGCTGTAAAAAGCATTAAAATACTTCGTACTAAACCTAATCATAAAACCCACATCATATATTCCAGGAATTCTCACCTTCATGAAAGATTCAGGTAACTATCTTGAAATCTTTTCCATCACTGATATTTAAAGTTTGGGAGGAGCTTACTGTTGCTGGAGCTTTTGCAAGGACTATAGAGTAAAAATAATGAAGTTAGAACTGCCTGTTCTTCCCATTTTACAAGGGTGATTGTTCCAATTCTACACTTCTGCCAAAGAGAGCAAGACAAAAGAAAAAAATAATAAAGCAATATGTATGGGTCACTTAGAGGAATTTTGTCAACTTCCCCAGGCCCAAGACTGCAGGTTTTACCCTTTGTGGGGTTAACAGGAGCATGGATATATCCTGCTCTTCCTTGAGAATGAGAGCACCAGGATGACATGTAATATTTTACATTCCAGCAGCTGGAAGGTGAAGGGATGGCTTTTGACCCCATGCTGGATCACCTGGGCGTGTGCTGCATTGAGTGCCGACGAAGTTACACCCAGTGCCAGCGGATCTGCGAGCCCCTCATGGGCTACCACCCCTGGCCTTACAACTACCAGGGCTGCCGCACCGCCTGCCGCATCATCATGCCCTGCAGCTGGTGGGTTGCTCGTATCATGGGCGTTGTGTGACAAAATCCCTTGACCAAAAAACCCAAACTGGATTCTTGACAAAATAAGCAGGAATACAATGAACTGGTAGAAGACTAAAACCAAAGCAGCGGTACCGATCCTGCCTTACAAAAATCAGAGCTTGTTTTCCTACACCAAAAGCAAGGTCAGATGTTCCAATTGCAAATTAAAATCTCAAGTTAACATTCATTAGCTTTACAAGAGGCAAGGGTATAATAACACTTCTTGAATTAAAAAACAGACATCCTAAAAAAAGACAATATTAAACTTTGCTCACAATTGGTTTAGCAGTCCAGAAGCTTGCCCATACATTTAAATTCAGCCTTTCAAAACAAACTCTTCTCTTTCCAAGCTGTATGTGAAAATTTATGTCCAATTAAACAACCAGCTCAACTTGTACACTTGGGAGTGCCTTTAATCCATGTAGCTTTCTTAAATAAATCACAAATTAAGTTGCTCCTTGTTGCTATTCAGAGTTGCCAGGTCATTATGAATGGTTATAAACCAATTACAGCATACCTTTCCCACAAAGCTGCTCCAGGGGACACGGGAAAGCGCACATTGTGCTAAATCGGAAACAAACAGCACGAAAAGGGGCTGTGGAAGGGAATGTGAGTGGCCACAGAATCAAAATCCTTGGCACATCCCAACATCAAAGAAGCCCCAGCATCAAGAATCCTGTATCCACGATACCACTGCAGTGTCTAACAAGTATCTGCTATCCAGCTACTACAGCAGAAGTATTTACATGCAGTTGCAGACCAAGGAGTCTCAAGACCCTTCAGAATCTACAACAGACACTGTTATTTATAAATCCTTGAACTAGACACTTCTGACACAAGGTAATAACCCCTCTTTATTTCACATTGATAGCAGCCATTCACACCAGTTCCTTTAGCTTTGCTGAAGCTCACATCCCTTTCCCAAAAGAGAAACTGTTTACCAGACAGGAGGGGAAAAAAAGCCATTTTTCCCCTCCTTTCTTACCTCACCCTTCTTGTTGAGGCAAACTCTACAATTATTGGGATTGAGCCCATTACACATTCAATCTCCAAGGAAGGTGAAACACTCAGAGGTGGAACAACTAAGTATTTCTAGCCTTGAAAAACAAAAACAGTGGTATTGCACAGCCTTTATCCATACTATGCATCTTGAACCCTACCACCGAGTTTATGGAGCCATCTACATCACCTTTATTAACAAAATGGTTCAATTTTTCTTAAAGTTTGCTTTCTGGAGCATTCATTTTTGTGACTAAACAGCTCTTGAGATGTTGCAAGCCCAGTAATGTTATTAACACTGCATGACACAGAAAAGAGGAATTAATTTGACATAATCGTGGCTTAAAGAAAATAAAGACAACCTCATGTGGAATGCTAAACTGCATATCTAAAATGCAAAGTGTTAAATGAGAATAGAATTCAGTATTTTGTTCTATTGTAGCTTTTTAGTATAAACTTCACCTTCCCTTAATCTGAAGGGCAGACTTGCTTTGAAATATTTAAATTATAAACTTCTTAAAAGTAGGATTTCAAGGCCTGTTAAATTTGAGTTTCTGCTTTTTAAACTGAAAATGACCTTGATCATTATGTTGTTTTAGAAGTACGTCTATCATATGCTTAGAAAAGTCAGTTTTCCTTTTTTTTTTACTGCAGATTAAACAAACACATTAAAAAAACCCAGTTGCTTTCTGTACTTTTTTCAAGGTAGAACGTGTAACAATTCTTCCACATACTCATTCAAGAAATGTCTGAAAAGAAGGGCATCAGCAAGTGAAACACTGGAGGCAAAGAGAAAGAAATGTGACTGTGTATGTGCCTGAACTAGACTGTTGCTCTTTTGCATCTTGAGGCAACCCGTCATTTGCTTTTCCCTGTGTCCCCCAATAAAACAAACAGCCTCCTTCTGAAGACACAAAACCAACTTTCTTGCAGGTGATTTCCATGTCTACACATATTAACAAAATTAATTCTTCCTTAACAAAAGATTGTAATCATTTGCTTTCTAGAGGCAGTCACAAAGCAGGTAAGAAGCAAAAGCAGCATCCTGCTCATGGATATAGAGCTGTCACATATGGCATGTACGTCTCGAGAACACGTCTGTACACACCAAAAGCCCCAGTGACCATAATGTTTATCTATTTCCAAAAGATAGGCAATAAAATCTCATCTCCAACTCAAGCTTCAAGCAAGCAAATTCCTACTTACCTTCATATCAGATTCAAAGAGAGAAAAGTAAAGATCTCGTGCTGCAGCAAGGTTGGAAAAATATCTTACTTCAGAGCATAACATCTGATTTTGAAGGAAAAGTTCTGAGGCAACACCAAGACAGCAGTACAACCAAAAAGGCAACAATGTGAAAAGATGGGATATTCCCTGCAGCTGTAGCTCAAGCTCCAGCTCTAACCGTCCACAGTGATCCTTCCACTACTGTACAGTATTTACTACCAGTGCTGAAGTTTCTCACTGCCACCACAAATGTAATACCTTGGCACACTACAGAGGTTACAACATGTCAGCATTTGGGGAAGTATGGAGCAGGGTGTTCCTTGAATCTGACCCTGGGCCAGCAGAAAATAGCTGAAAGATTTCCTTTGGCCAAAAGTTAGGGAAGGAGAAGAGGAATGAGTTTGTCATCAACAGTGCCTCCCACCACAGGTGGGTGGATGTTTGTCACAGCACTGCAGTTCCACTATCCTTAAAACTTAATTACCCATGTGATTTTACTAGGAAGATTAGAATGACAGAGCATATTAGAGCAGAAAAAGGGGATAAACTCAGGCTGGTGAAAAAGAGATGGAAAACACACAGCAATCCCATATGGCTAAATAGATTGAAAAGCAGTGATGGGAAGGCAGGAGGACTCTTTTTTTCTGAATCTACAGTTCCCTTTCTCCCCATTTAAAACAAATGAACTCTTTGTCCTTTTTCATACAGCAATCACTCTCCACTTTTATCTACAGTAAAAAGCAAAAAGAAGCTTGGAGGCAAGGAAGGGAGGCAATCTGGCTTCTCCTCCCATGTAACACTTCATCCCTACTGCAGCACAAAAAATTTCCAATAAAGTTTCAGTGAAGAGCAGACTAATCACTTGTTCCATGCAGTGCAGGGGAAAAAAAAAAAGTAGTGAAGCATAAAACTACAGTTGGCAATGAAATGATTGCTGATTGACATGTCTGGGTGGACAGAATCCTTGCTCAGAAACGGCAAAAGAGAGACTGAACCAGGAGCACCATCTTCTGCTTCCGAGAGGCTCAGCTGGCCTTTTACAGACACACACCTACAAGCTGGCCTTTCACAAGCAGGTATATCAAAGATGAGAGGCAGCCTTAACCTGCAGCAGGCATCTTCCCCGAGAGCAGGAGCAGAGAGCAATCCCATCTATAGTATTAAATGGGAACTGTTTCATCTTGCTGTCCTGTTCCACTATTTGCATCAGTACAAACTGTCTCAGTCTTCCAGACAGTACTATCTAAAGAAGACCAAAAGGCTTGGGAAAAAAGCCCTCAAACAGTTTGAGCACAATTATAACATCATCCATTCTGTCCTTGCAGGCAGTTCTCCTCCTCCAGCCAACTCATTATCACTGTGATACGTATTTCCACTCACCCTCTCCAGTCCCAAAGGAAATTCCCTTTGTCACCATTCTTTTTTTTTTTTTTTTTTATTCAGAGCGTCTATTCAACGCCCAAGCTACTGCTAAAATTTTTCTGATCTACAGCTTCTGGTACTGTTTTGTGTGTGTGTTTTGACAAGAACAAAATACACTGCTCATGAAGTTCATGAAGCACCTTTCTCCCAGCTTTCAAAGGAAATTTTGCCTTAATCCAATCCCCTCCAAATTAGAAACCCAACACCCCTCACCTCCACACACATTCCCCTCTGCCTATAAGGCAACAAGACTTGCCATTACTGATTAACCTAAACTTGAAGGAGGACCACACACAGATTATCTGCCTGTGCTCAGAAACGTGCTGGAATTTTGTCTAGACCTGCAAACTTGGCTTACAGGATTGAGATGGACAGGGAGTTCTACCACTTGATTGCTACAAGTTTTAGCCTGAAGCTAAAGCATTATATTTGCATTACATATGCCTCAAGAGTACCTAAGGAGTAATGCATTTTATTTTACTTTTTGCCTTAAGCTAAGTGAATTGAATCTCAAAGCAGTGAAACAGTACCCACTTAATACAAGAATATATTGTGTTTATCTGACATAATACTCCCATGGTCTTTCAGTAAGTGAAAGACAGAGGAACCTCTGCTATGTTCTCTTCAGTAAGTAAGAGCAACTTGATTGGCAGAAAACATCTTCAAATTACTTTTTAATTTCTGTTTAAGAGATTTTTACCTAGGCTTTTCCCCACAGCAAGCCTTCGCTAAGCTCTGTTAAGTACTCTGAAGACATTTATAAAGCAAGGCTGGCCAAGAGACAAAAACCCAATTTTGTGACAAAGTGAAGCACTCAAGACTTTGTCTTCCTTCTACATTAAAAAGAAAGAAATGCTTTTGCACATAAATAAAAAGCAGCAAAGCACTTATCTGGGAGAATGGAGTTCAAGTACCCATTCCAAATCAAATCAACTCCAATGTTAACATCCCATATGGACAGGCAAATTTTCCCCATATCGAGCTACCAGCTACTCAGAATTCTCTGAAGGTCAAGAAAAGCCTCACACCAAAGCTAAAAATCTTCTCTGAAACACGTCCCAAGTATATGCTTGGAGAAACTCTTCCAAGAAGCAGACACACTTCAGTAAATGTCAAGAGGTAAGGCACACAAAACCCTTCCTAAATCCAATCGACCTAAGTTCACTGCATTCAAAGAGAGGGTAACATTCAGTTCTGAAGGTTTTCAAATTTGAACTTTGGAAAACACGTATCAATTTTGAAACCAGAAGTGATGCAAAAGAAACCACTGCCCAGCCTGCACTGCAGGATAATCATGATCTAAGTGAATCAAGAAACTGCAATTATATCAAGACTTGTAGTCACAGTCTACATCCAAAAAAACTGTCTTTTTAACATTTGTGAGATTTCAAGTCTTGGAATCTCTACTGCACAGGCATAGTAACAAAAGTGGGGAAAAGCCAATGCACTTACCCAACATCACTGTAAAATCCAGGTTCCTGATCCTCAAGAGGAACAGAATATATCCTTCCTTCTCTTTTTCAATCATCATTTAATACCTAACAGCTGCAGACTTCACTCATCCTATTAAAAACACCTGTTCTAACAGCCTTTCCATTTTACCAAGCTCATCCAATTGACACTGTAGAAAAATAACATGTCCAAT